TACATTGTTTTTCTGTTATGGTATAGAAAAATAATGTTTCATTTGTGGATTAACGGAGTGAGGTAAAACAAACACCACTGTATTTCCCATTTTAGGAGGGGTCCCTATTTACTAGGGGAGGGGGATAGGGGTCCAAGGTCATTTTTGGATTACTTTTCTATTTTATATTTTATTATTCTGAAAATTCAAGGAGTTGAAGGAGGGGTTTGAACCCCTTGACGTCCCCTTTAGACCCGTGCATGATTTCTCTGTAGGTACTGTGTAGAATAATAATTGTAACTTTGTGTCAATAAAAACCATAGTTTGCTTAAGTTTAGTTATAAATCTTTAATAAACGGAACCATGGGCATATTAAAAATGAATACAGTGTAAAATTTCTAGATGTGGATCGGTTATATATACAAAAACATCGTCATCTAAAGACAATTGCAACATGGCTATGACCATGAAACAGGGTCATAATTTATCAAAATTTTTACTTTAAACTTTTGACACCATTCTACATCCGTCCGAATGAAGGACGCTTCTCTGCTTACGACCATGCAAATAACATTTTCTATATAGTCCTAACAGTAGCATGTTTCCTTAAAGTTGGAGTCTTTGGGCGTGTTGTGAACAATTTAATATTTTCATATTCATTTGAAGCACTGATTTACTTTTCTCCTATTTTATTTATTTTTTTTTTTAGTTTCAAATGCAAACACTGAGATTTAACAGGAGCCTCTCTTCCTTGCGGTATCTGCACAACTTTTTTTTGTAGTTTGAATGTGTAGTAGCCACGTCTTGGCATCGTCTTCACACCATCTGGAATTGAAATAATATCGTCTGAATAAAGAATTGATATTTATGACGCACAATTAGGCCGAGCAGAGCGATAAAACCCCGTTTTCGCGCGTTTTTATATCATCTGCAGATTATATCAGGGTTATGCAATTTAGGCATCTTTTCGCGTCAGGAATTAATCACATGGGATTATATAATCATCTTCTGTTAATTCTCCTTTTGCGCTTTAATACTTGCTTTTGGTCCCGATGATTAAGATTGATATTCCATTTCTTTGCTGATTTTATTATATTCCTGTATGACAAGATACCGGAATAATTGGACTATATGGCGTTTTAGCACTGTGGTCATACTCTCAAATTGGTAGCTGCTCCAAACATAAACCATAATCATGGAAGTCTGGCTGCTTCTGTCTTTTCCAATCGTACGTCATGTCTTTTGTTTCATCCATATAATTCAGTTTTATTTCATATTGCTAATCCACAGAGATTCATTTGATTTGTCAGTTCTTGAATAGAGTTAGCCAGATGTTCACACCAGCACATCTCAGTTAGACAGAAATGTTCCACTACTGTACCCTTTCTGTCTGGTTACAACAATTCCGGTTAAGAAAACAAACAAACAAACAAACAAAAAAAAAACCATAACAACAACCAAAAAAAAAAAAAAAAAAAAAAACCACCATGAAAATGAGCTGATGTTGCCTATGAAAAAAAAAAGATTTCCGATCTCAAGTATATTTCTTTGAGTGATTATATCAACAAACCAAAATCTTTAGGTAGTCAGTGTGCTTGTTGGAGGGGTGGGAGGTTTGAATATATTAAGTATATAGTATTTCCCACCTGCCCACCCCACAATTTTAACAGTTGAAGTCTATCAATAAGTAACGCAGAATTATTAGATCTGGAAAATTATTTCTAACTTTACTTCATCAATCTAGATATATTATATAAATTAAATATAAAGATATTTTTAAAGTAATTCTGAGTATGTCTTGTCTTCCAGTTCAGGAATTGCAGAGACAAAGACATTCATGAAATTTTTGAGATGGAAAGTGTATAATGTAAATTTTTAATGCTTTCTTTTAAATTTCCACTTTGTTTAATAGTTTTAAAAATATTCTTTCAAAAGACACATATTATGGAATTTCATATACGACAGCTAACTGCTGAAATACCACTGCCAACTTCTCGCTGACACTGCTTATAGATAATATTGCATAATTGTTTTATCTTTAATACGCAATTACGCATGCTTTTCTAAACCATATTAAAGCAATAATATAATAACAATAAACAAGAGGGCCATGGGCCACAATGCTCACCTTAGTCACTATAGCCCTGCTGTGGCCCCACCCTACCTTCGGGCAATCTAATTAAAATTAGATCTTTGATCCACTCCAACTAGATTGACCTTCGGGGGTCATGGTTTGAATAAACTTGAAATTACACTACCTAAGGATGCTTAATATGACTCATCATGGCTTAGTTTTTCTTGAGTAGAAGATTTTTTTTTTAAAGATTTTTTCCAAATATTCCTATGTAAAATTTTGATCACCCATTATGGCCCCACCCTACCTGTTCTTGTGACCTGGGGGTCATAATTTGAACAAACTTGAATCAACATTACCTGAGGATACTTCCATATAAATATGATTAATCATGGCTTTGCCATTTTCAAGGAGAGGAATTTGAAGATTTGTTCCTATACAGTGTATATATTTCTACTTAAACTTTTGATCGCCCATTATGGCCCCATCCCGTCCCCTTGGGTCATCATTTCAACAAACTTGAATCTACACTACGGATGTTTCCGTATAGATATGATTAACCAGGGCTTTGCTGTTCTTGTGAAGATTTTTAAAGTTTTATCCTTTATACTCCTAAGTCTTTGATTGCCCGTTGTGGCCCCATCCTACCCCGGGGGCTCATGATATGAACAAATTCCAATCTACACTAGCTGAGGGTGCTTCCATATAAATATGACTAATGTCTTTGCTGTTCTTGAAGAATTTTAAATACTTTTTCTTAAATATTCCTATGTAAATATTTGATCGCACATTGTGGCCGCACTTTCCCCTGGTTGGGTCATGATTTGAATAAACTTGAATCTACGCTACCTGAAGATGTTTCCTGGATGAAGATGTAAATATGACTTATCATGGCTTTGCTGTTCTTGTGAAGAAGGTTTTTAAAGATTTTTTTCTACATGTTATACTCCTTTTTAAAAATTGTATTACCCATTGTGTCCCACACTACCTTCGGGGGTCGTTCATGATTTGATCAAATTCTGGAGTTTGACCTACTTTTGAAAAACTTAAACCTTGGTCATAACTTTTGAACGATTGGTGCTTCAGCTTTCATATTTCACCAGTATATTTCTTGTGAGAAGGCCTTTCCTTTGACAAAATTAATTTTGACCATTTGACCTTGACCTTGATGTTTAACTTACTTTTGAAAAACTTAAACCTTTTCCATATCTATTCAATGGTTGCTGCTAGGGCTTTCATATTTCACAGGTATATTCCTTGAGATAAGACCTTACTTTGGGTACCAACATATTTGATTTGCATTTGAGAAAGTTTAACCTTTGCTATAAGTTGCTATACGGGGGCATCAGTGTTTCAGAAACACATCTTGTTTTTTGTTTAAAAAAAAGAACAGGTTTATGAAATTCATGATCACTGGATCAGGGGTTCTGGTGCTAGGGCAGGGCTCTAACTGCACATGTAGGGAAAATGTTAGTCTATATTGAGGGAAAATTATTCAACTATCATAATGATAATTTATCACCGTAAATAATGCAGTTGATAGGTATATTGAATAAAAGAATCATACAAGAATTTGCAATATATAATACAAAAAGCACTTTTACAGTTTTAAATGGCCAGGTAAATTTATAAGTAATAAATAAATAAACATTAGACAAAAAATACTTTATATTTAAATTTGTATCAGAAATATTAGTGAAGAGCAGGAGGGATTGAAAGAAAGGGAGTGTGTTGGGTTTTCTCTGACTACACAAGACTAAATTGTTCTTATGATTGGTGATAGTGACAAATGGAAGTGTAGATAGCACTGGGATACACAGGCAAGTAAACAAATCTTCTTTCAGAGTTGTTGCAGTTTACCATACAAATGATTATTATAATATCGATTCTTGATTGTCCCATTTCTCTCGATTCTGAGCAATATTTCTTCCTCTGTCAATTTTGTTTGCTTTATTATGTACTGATAATTATCAAAATTTCTATTCTATGGATCCTTAACAGGGTTATATCATACTCAGGTAACCGTTTGGGCCCGTGGGCCTCTCTTACAAAACTTTCAGCTTATAAAGAGATTATTTGTGCATGTATGATAAAGATAACAGAGTTGGTTATCATAAGAAAGCAGTGGCAGTAAGCAGATTAGTGTACGGTTAACTTGCGCGGATTTAGAGTATTTGTTTGTGAAGAATCATCATTAACAATGTATAATTGGGCATAAAAAATTACCTCTTTTTTCTTCTTCATATATTAAACTCTCGTATACAGAAGAAGCGTTTATAATTCCAGAGCTTGTTTCCAATCAATTTTACAATAATAAATTTATAATACAATGATAAAAAAAATCTTATTACTAAATTCGTGTGTGTGTGTGTGTGTTTGTTTGTTTTTAATTTTGTGCGATTTGAATATGATGAATAACAGTTTTGTGTACCTAGTTCGTTCTATGTATTAGAAAATACATTTTACGAAAACACGGAATGTTTAGATTAATTAAACAAGAAATGTTTGATCAGAATAAAAAGTAGACTAGTAATTTAAAGTCAGTATTTAATTTTTCAACCTCATAGAACAGAAACATTCTTGCAAATTTATAAACACAATTCAAATGCAACTTCATTTTTTTAAAAATAATAATTGTTTCATGTTTGTTTGTTAGTTTGTTTTTTTTTTTTTTTTATCAGGAAGCATTTTGCTTGATGTTGTAACGGACATTATATTTTTTTTTATTTCGGGTTTGATAATAATTTACCATCGTAAGAATTCTTTATGTCGAGGTTACAACACTTGTATTGCATTACAGAAATGCAGCTTCTTTTTCCGTCGAGGAAAAAATATCAAGTCATAAACAAATCCAGCACACATTAATTAAGATGTAGTTATTCATCCAGTCTTCAATAACAGTATCATATAATCAAAATGATGACAGACTCTCTGCTTTTATTTCCAGTTCAACCAAAATAAACAGGGGATGGCGGCGTATTACATTACACTGCTGGCTTAGTAATTTCTTGTTTTGGCCATCTTTATGTTGTTGGGATTGCGTGACAAAATGTCGTTCTCACTAATTCATTTGAAATGAAACTATCGGTAGATTACAATATTATAAGGTGGATATCTTTGTCGAGAATTTAATCACAGTCTGGCTGTTTGCGCAAAAAATAGTACTTTTGTGGAAGAAAATAAGAGCCAAGGCATCACTGCGCTAGGATCCAGAAAAAAAAATGTGTGCACCTGGGTGAAATTAAATTCAGATTCAAATACTTCACCAGATGAAAGTCGGGATCATTTTAACGACTGGAATTTGCCTCATTTCGTCGTTTTTGAAATTTCAATGCACAAATACCGTGTATACTTTTAAAACAAAGCATATAAGAGCAACTGTGTCTTTAAGGCTAGTTGTGGAAGATGTCACGTGACCCTTCCTCGAGTTGCAGGTAAGTGGTTATTGTATAGTTTGCTCTAGATTTTACAGCACGCAATTTTGAAATGATATGAAACAAAATTTCTTATGCTGTTTAATACTGTTTTTGTTCTTTTTTTCCTTCCCCCGAGGACGTACTGAACGCAGAACTCTTAATCTAAGTAAAAAACCATTAGGCCCAATGGGTTCCTAAGATGTCATTTAACAAAATGATTTGTCAGTTGTTGATCTTGAGTCACAAAACATTTGGCATTTCTACTTTCAAAAGATTAACTTTGCTTAAAACAAAAATAAAAATTTATTGTCAAACTGGGGACCAGTATTTGAGGTCGCTGAAGCCTTAAGAAAGAAAATTATGAAGGCTTTGCTGGTCCATCAACTCCTCAAACCAGGAATGGGTTCCAGCTTTAGAAAAAAAAAAGAAACTGATTTATATTTCTTTTTCTTATCTGTAGTACTTCTATAGTATTTGTTGTTGTTTTTTGTTTGTGTATTTGTTTGTTTGTTCTTTTTTTTTTAAATGTTACAGCTAAATGAATGCACAATTGGTGAAAATAAAGTCAACCCAAAAGTTATGTGATTCAAACTACATGTACTTAGGTTCACAGTTCGAATCTCGCATTTTTGGTGATCTTGGTTTATAAAATCTCAAAATATCAAGGGATAGGGAGAATGGACCTAGTTAGTTTACTATACACACTGTGATAGTATGCGTTGCTAAACAATTCAAGAAATTGTCTCAAATGTGTCCTCTATAAATGGTCTTGTATAATCCTACATATATCTATACAGATCTCGTAATTCTTACAAAAGAGGATGATGTTTGCCGTTCCTAGCTGATTATTGCTAAAGCTTTCCTTTCTGGTATTCTTATAGTCATGTTTAGAGGTTTGTCATTGGAATATTTCAGCAGATCATCTTTCTGAATCGTGTCAAATGTTCTCTTGAATTTCATGTCTGTTCTTGTTTTGACAGGATCTACTCTTTTTAATTTTTTGTGCTTAATCAAAGCTTAACCAAGTACGACATGATCATCACTTTTTATACAATATACAAAAAACAATATAGGAATTAGGTGTTACTTTACGCGATTCAATATGGTGCGAGACGTTCGAATACACTCCATAAATATTTTTTTGCTGATATTGGCTCGTCCATAGCGAAATCTGATTTCATGGATACATCGCTGCAAGAATGGCTGTCGCCAACCAATGACAACTGGACAGCGAAATGCATTTTTTAAAGATTAAATGTTTACACTTGATCTGTGTTGCCTATGCGAATTTCAATTGGTTCTTCGGTTATTTTAATGTTGTTTTAACATCCTCTCATTTTCAACTTAAACTAATGGTCCATTTACCGCCAAAGAGATGTTTCCATGGATCTTTTGAAAAATGTGTTTTATTCTCAATTTCAGAACTGAAGTATTTTTTCTTCTGGCGTTACTCACATTGGGTTCAGGGGAAAAGAAGTTAGGGTTTTTGCTTGGAAATGTCTGAATGTCTGCATTGAACGCCCTGAATTTAACACAGGAACCTATCTTGTCAACTCCATCCAAAAACTTTTGACTTCTTATTCTAGATAAATGTTGAGACTTATGAAAGAAATCAGCTATACGTACAGTTGGAGACCGAATGCTTGTTAATTATACCTTCAACATGCGATTAAAGAAATAGATACCCACTTTAAATAACTTAATTCACAGCAGTTTAGAATTGACTGGGATTAACTTTTTTCCCTACAAAGATGTGTAAAAGTAACAATGTATAAAAGTAACGATGTACTGAATAACACAGCATAAAGTAACAATGTATAAAAGTAACAATGTATAAAAGTAACAATGGGTGTTTTAAAGTAACAAAGTATAAAAGTAACAATTTAGAGTAAAAAAAATTACATCATACAAAGCCATTTATAAATGTAAATTAATACTTGTATTTCAAATTTGTATTATTCTTTTGTTTATGTAGTTGCTTGATCCCATATGCGTGTAATTTGCAAATAAATATATAAAAGTAATGATGTATAAAATTACCAATGTAGAAAAGTAACGATGCAAATTTCTGTAGGATTCATGAACAAACACCACAGAGGTAATTGAGAAACATGGGGTATATGTTAAATCTGCATTTGTAGTTTCTTTTTTAGACATATATAAAGAATTCATTAAAATATTTCCGGAAGATGTATTGATCTCTTGGTATATACACTTTCAAAATGAGTACAATTTATGTGCCTATTCGATTGCAGCACCATTTTCAAATCTTAATTAAAAAAAAAGTTTTGTCGTTACTATTTGACAAGGATCCCTTAGTCCTCCTTGACAGAAATGTAAGGGGCAATTTCTGTGTTTCATGTAATCCTGAACTCAAATACTTTTACTTTCTCAGCCTTGGCAAATAAAATGGTAACATTGTCGAGATCTTGTGAATCACTGAGTAAATAAAAAGGTGTGAGCCCCTTGTCTTTGATACGGCACGGAATATTTCCATTTATATCGCCACTTGTAACGACAAGGGTATTGTTAGTGAATTTATATATTTGATCTGGAAATTATTTGTGCATTGACAATATCCCCCCGAATGGAGGCTTCACGCCTTAAATGACAGGATTTTCCTTTTTTTCTTTACAAGCTCTATTAGGGAGAGAGAGTAGAAGAGGCTATTGAGCAAACTGTAGGGAGGTTATTTGCACGTGGTTGCGCTTTAAAGAATTTTTTTCTACAGCACTTCAAGTATAAGCCGAATTGAACACAATGGCCGCATTATAAAATATGTGGTGAAGTTATATATTAAATTCCGCGCACCTGCCGGGAAAATTATAACTATATTATGACTGAAGCAAATGGTGCAAAATTCGACGGTGGCAAAAATCTGTTCACGTTGGGATTTGTCAAAAAAATTTAGTTTTATGACATGTTATAGTGTGTCAATTGGATATGATTTTTTCCTCCTTTGAGAGGCATGCATATAATGAAGTAAACAGCTGAAGTAATTCTGGGCAAAAGATTCAGATATGTTACTTTCGGTGAATCATTCAAGAGAAAATAAATTGTGAGAAATAAAATGTTTTACTGTTTTGTTGCAACTTGCAATGAACAGTTACACATATGTTTGTCATTTTGAAACAGCCCCAGAGATTCAGGTAGGCGTCTTTTTAAGTATATTCAACTTTTCTGCAAAAATCAGAAGCTTGTTTATTTTTGTTTGAGGTAATTGTGTCAGATAGCATAACAGTTTATTACAATACGACCTGATAAAGGTCTGAATGTGCGGCTAATGTTTTCACTATATATTGAATGTTATCGCTAAAGGTGTGAAAAATTATTGTAAGCCTTTTGCATTTGTAAGAATTGTAATCCGTACGTCTTAAAACCGAATTGTATACCGTTTTTATTTTTCCAACTTGAAGTAATATTTGATAGAGATTGGCGCAAGAGGATTTACATGTTCTATTCTTCCTGGCCACTAGCGCGGAAGAAACTCAAAACTATCAGCTTAAAAATTTGGATTTCGTTGAATAGAAGCTAGCCTCTTCACCCGTATACAGAAAGGATTACGATGTTATATACTCAGACAGGTCTGACAAGCAAACACGTGGTTCTGATCCGACATTTGAAAAACGTTGAATTCCTATAATTCAGTGTGAATGTCAAGTCTGACTATGCGTGATTTTCAGACTTATGGTGTACACGTCTCCGATTTTTATTACTTTTGTTTTACTGTGTTCAATTTGTTTATAAAGAATTTATGGTTTGATGGATAACTGTTTTTTCCGCTTCATTTTTTCTGATATACAGCGCGGACGTCTTGGAACATTAACGCGGACGTCGTAGAAAAATATTATATAATAAATGAAATAAATAAATGGTGCCATCGATCAATTAAAACTTGGCGTAAGAGTTAATCAAATAAATTCTATATTCAAAGAACAAGACAAGAAGTATTGCCAAAATAATGTTTCAGTTGATACTCATCATTGGCATCTGTGGCCAGGATGGTAAAGTACAGATTTCCAATTAGTTTTTACTTGCAAGTTTGATCTCGATAAAAAGCCGAAAGGCACGATATCGTTTGGCCATTTTTTGCTGGAGAGCAGTGCGGCATGTCTGCTGAAGAAATCTGCTAGTTTTCGGAAGAGCGTAGCTTGGTGGAATCTGAACCTCTTTGAAAGCATCATTAGCATAGTAAAGTGTTCAACAGATGTTTCAAAAGAGGCTTACATTTTAGGCGTGTTGAGGGAAACATTTGTATCGTGTATAAAGGCTTCGCTACATTCCTAAATGCGTGATAACTGAAATAAAAAGTTATAAACTCATTTATGGCTCCTTTTTGATGATATACATCAAGTAGATATATATCCATATCATGTGGTGGTTCCAAAAAATACTGTTCTAGTATACAATAGGCAGTTTACCTGAATCCTACATGCATAAATGTTTTATGTAAAGGGAGCGGATCAAAGCTGTATCATTTTTTTAATAGCAATTTACTTTGGAGGCAGCCAAGATTCCAAGCCTAATTCAAGCTCTGCATTACAACATTCACCCTTCTGTCCTTACATTTGAAACAAAATTGATGAGATATGTCAACGTCATAATATTTCAAAATTATATTTGATTAGCATATCGCATGTTTGACATTCTACAGCTATACATTCCAGAGGTGTTGAATAAATTAATAATGCGTGTATAGTAAAATAATCATAACAATGGAAGGATTAAATTGGTGCAATTTTCCATGCCAACTAATGTGCAAATCTTTAAATAAGCATTATAATACATATGCAATATATCAAGACGATATATTTTAATTAGACTAAAATGCGCGAGTATCATGATCGATTCATTTATGGTGTGTTTTTTTTTTGGAGGGGGTGGGGGGGGAGCAGTTTAAGACATCGCTAAATATAAAAGAACGCATTCTGGCATTCGACATAAAAGTTTTGTAAACATATATTACTCATTGAACGGCTCTCTCCATGTCACAGGTTAATTAAAAAAAACATAGAAGGAAGTTTTAATTAATACTCACTTAGTATTAATTGATCATATATAAGCGTAATAATTATCTCTGCGTGAGTCAATCATTACCTGGTCAATATAAGCAGAAATTAATTAAGCACAATTAATATATCAGCATGAGTTAATCAATAATGGGTTAGTGAATGTAGAACTAAAGGAAAGGTAAGTTTTAGGAGTTATTTCCCTTTCAATACTTAATCGTACAACAATACGGGTTTATACACGGTAAAGCCGAAATTGTAATTTAAAAAAAATGATTTCGAATCAAGACTGTTGAAGACACCAATATATCGGTTCTCATGTTATTTTTAACTTAGTTCTTTTTAGTCGGCATTACATTTTTACACATAGGCCTAATCAGAGGTATAAATAACAACTGTTTTTTATTTCTCTTATATAATTTAATGAACACAATTCCATTTATCACAAAATTGTAGAAAGACCTTAACCTGTTAACGATAAAAGTATTTGTTAATACTAAAACTATTATCCCCAAAAAACTTTGCAAGACATTGTAAAAAAAAAAACCAAACAAACAAACAAACAAAACCAGTACTTTTCAGTGACCTTTTCCCGTATGTACTAACTTAGGGTTAGTATATCTATATATACGTCGCTGTTTAAGAAGCGTTAAGCATTTATTTTTTTTTTTTTAGTTTTTTTTTATGATTATTTATATATTAGGCATATTATTATTTTCTTTTCCTATCTCATTTGATCTAAGAAAATGGCAACTTCAATGTGTTAAAGCTATGTTTGTAATCTGTACGGTAAAAAGTTTATTCATAAGCAACACAGTTTAAACCAATAGGATTGTACCTCTTTCATAAAAAGTTTACATTGATTGACAGACCTTTTTAACGCCCCGCCCCCTGACCCATTTCGGCGGAATAATTCGCTAGCATATCAATACTTGGGATCTAACAGAGAAGTCATGTTGAAGAATGTGCCTCAAATTAGTGATAAATTAACACGTGTGTGAATTCAATAATGACGGAAATATAAATTTATTAATGGAATATGTTTATACCGTCACTTGACATAGGGTTTTGATCATGTGAAACTAAACTAGCGTTGAACTGATGGAGTTTCTTCTTTCACAGAGAGTATCGGAGTGAACGTACATCGGCTGGCCGAGTTCCCTCCGTCACATACGAATGGAAGGAGGGTATGGCATCGCTGTCTTACCCACCTATGCCCCCTATTTTGAGCTTGGTGGTTATTTTCTTATTGGTATACTTAATCGATACAAGTAAGTATTTATTATTGAATTTTCAAGCGTTATTTTTACATTCCGTTATGGGACCTATATTTTTGGAGAAAGGAGTGTTTTTCCGTGATGAAGTTGTACGTTGAAATATTCGTGAATTTAGAAAAGCCATAATATTAGATGTGGAAATTGCAATTTACTTATGCAAATTGAACAGATTTACATTTGATTTCATGTATTTCATCAAATGTTTAATACTAAGTAGTTAGGAAAAGTTGAATGTTAGTATATACATCCCTGCTTGTTTATATTCTGACAATGTAAGAAAAGGAATCTTTCTAACTTCTAAATGAACATGCTTTTGATGATTTATTAAAGGTAATGGATGTGGAATGCAATTGTGTCATGAACGTTGGCGGACTGCTCAGAGAGCAGCACATGGAGGTTTGATAAAACCACATAATGGAGAAGAACCTCTTTGTGTAGCACATAGGACTTATTTGGTGTGCCTGATTGCAGAAGAGGTGAACTGCAAAACCAATTTGCAATTTCAACTGACCAAGCGAGGTGTCATACTCAACATGAAAAGTTCAAAGTGTAATGATTATGGTGATACTTTTAATGTAACCACTGTTGTTAATGACCCTCTCATGGATCCATGTTTTCCAAATTCAATTTGCACATGTACTTTTCGAAGCAAAAATCCTAACACTCCAATAAAATATGAACACTGTGGATTATTTGGTGATCCCCATTTGAGGACGTTCAGGGATGATTTTCAGACTTGTAAAGTGGAAGGTGCATGGTCACTGGTTCAGAACAGATATATAGTGATTATGGTCACAAACAACCCAGTAAAAGACCATGCAGCAGCAACTGCCACAAGCAAGGTATATGATCTAATAATGTAAAATACTTATTTATTTGAGTGTGATTACAGTAAAATGTATGAAATGAAGACTAATAATCAAATATGATTTTTATGAGCATGTTGAAGAAGTTTGAAATTGGAATTTTTTTTTTTAATCAGTTTTAAACATTTTTAAACTATTGAAAATGGAGCACTTTATGTACATTGTTTATGAATTATGATTTGAATAATACCCAAGTATGAACCATTCCTCTAAGCCATATAAAAGAGAAAAAATAGGTACAATTTAGTTGTAGAATATCCCAATTGTGCTGAATTTGACTACCGCAGATATTTTATTTATATTTTGTGTATGATTCCATCAAAATGTCTTGAACCCTAATTCATAAAATGAAGTAGGAGCCCATTCAAACATGATGAAGATTTGTATTTGTGCATGTAAAAAATTATGCACATATATTATGCTAAGTAAAGTGCTTTTGCTGTCTTGCATCATACTCAATTTCTTGTACAGGAGTACATTCTTACAAGCATTTACAAATTGTCTTAATCCACATATGCATGAACATGTTCCACAAAACCAGTGGTTATCAGCCTTAGATTTTAGAAAGTGGAAGCTCTCTCACGTTTTCCATGGCCGGACATTTTTTTTTTTTTTTTTTTTTTTTTTTTTTAAGATAAATGTCCTGAGTAATTGGTACTTTATTAAGGACAGATGATACAAGCAAAAAATGGATGCCTGGATTGGTATATATTTTTGGACCAATTTTGATGGTAAATAATGCAAGCAACAAATTTCTAAAATATTAAGAATTTGTAAACTTTCTGTGATATTCAAAATTCTACCTTTCTGCAACCCTTCTTATTAATCTATACAATTTTTGAAGGCACATGAATTTGGTCCCAGAAAATGATTTAGATGTTTGTTTATATTCAAAGACAGTAAACTGTGTGTTTAAAAATGTAAGTTGGTAGGTGACAGCAAAGTGCAAATGTAGTATGATTACATTTGTTAATTATTATTTATTCATGGTACAGAAGAAGGTAAGGAATATATGAAGAAAATGTTCAGTTGACTAAACATCTTACATATAGATTTTGAACAAACATAAATATATGAACAATAAATTATTCCATGCAATGCAATTTGGGAAATGATATAATAAACACATTTTCAACAAAAGAATAGATGAAGAAGATGACCTAGAATTTTTAAATTAATCAGCACTGTAGTGAGCACTCCTAATCAAGTGTCTTTTGGACATGTTCATTTAGTTTTCATATTTTAAAAGATTTATTTATCCTTTTTTAGCTGAAAAGGATAAATAAATCTTTAAAAATATGAATATCAATGAAGTTGAGATGAACTTATGCTATACCACCAGACTGGTGTCTGCGTTTGCTTCGGTAAAGTTTTAGGAGCAAATCCATTCCCCATTAGCTATAAGGGCAACCTGGACCAAACTTGCTTGGATTATGCATCAAGGGGTGCACACTACAGACTTGCTTAGGATGTTGAATCTGACCTATATTTTTTGGATGAATGATCAAGGATTAAGTTTTAGGAGCAAATCCATTCCCAAGTACCTGTAAGCCAAGTATGTAGACCCAACTTGCATGGGTGTTGCATCTAAGCATGCACACTACCAGACTTGCTTCAGATGCTGGATTTTGCCTACTTTTTTCAGATGACTAGATAGGTTAAAGTTTAGGAGCAGGTCCATTCTCAAGTAACTATAAGTCCTACCTGGTTCAAATTTGCAAAGATGATGCATAGATCTAGGGATCCATAGTGCTAGACTGGCTTCAGATGCTGGATCTGACTTAAATTTTCCAGATGATTAGGTTAAATTTTCTGGAGCAGGTTCTTACTCAAGTAACTATAAGCCCCATTTGGACCAAAGTTGCATGGATGATGCATTTAGGGATGCACACTATCAAACTTGCTTCAGATATTGGATAAATTGACCTGCATTATCCAGATGAGTAAAGCAGGTATATTCCCTTTCTGGACCAACCTAGCATAGATGATGCATTTAGGGATGCACACTACCAGACTCGCTTCAGATGCTGGATCTGACCTACATTTATTGATGCAGGTTCATTTCTAAGTAATTATAAGCCCTACTTGGACCATGGTTGATGCATATAGGGGTGCACACTACAGACTTGCTTCAGATTCTGGATCTAACCTACATATTTCAATGAATGAATTTTGAATGAACAAGTTTAAGTTATAGAGCTTGTCCATTCCCAAGTAACTGTAAGCCCTGTTGTGACTGAACTTGAATTGATATACATGTTACTACGGATGCAGCTACCAGATATGCTTTGGAAGCTGGATCTGGCCCACATTTACAGGGTCATTGTACAGTGACTAGTCGGAAACTGTCGGTCCTGTCGGCAAGGCCAGTAAAAATTAGTCTTTCAAGAAAGCGATGGTCCAAATGACCGTTTGAAAAAATTGAGCATGACGCAAATTTTAAAAAGATTGGGATCAGGGTGCACAGGTGAACATCACAAAAACAGAAGAGATGGCTGTGTGGTCACACTGCAGTGATGATTGTCGATGATATTTGTTACAGCCAGGGACCTAAATACTTGTCTACTGTATATACATCCCTGTTTCAGCAAAGACATGAAACATGTCATTTATGTCTCTGATTTAAGACTCTCTACCCTAAGAAAAGAAACTTGCAAGATTGAAGGCTGTTGAAAACAGTAAACAGTATTTTGAGCATTTATTTATTTTCCTTTCTCAGCATCAAAATAAGGTACATGCATGATCAACATCTGGTCTGACAACATTTCGACAAGTCTGCTACTGTAGTACAGTTAAAGTTTTTGGAGCAGGTTCATTTTCAAGTATCTATAGATCCTACATGGACCAAACTTGTATAGTTATTGTATCTAGGGATGCACATTTAATACCAAAACATTTGTTTGGTGTGAGATCCTTACTTGTACATAACATCTGTCAAGATGAGCTTTGTTTATATCTTTGATAACCTACGTTTTTTTAATTTTTCGTACAATATCCACAATGGTACACATGCACATGTATGCAACATTTTCTGAAAGAATGAAAAGTGTAGTGATGAATAAGCACTGCAACACTGAAAACTTGATGAATACATGCAAAGAACTGTGTGCATTTCATCACTCAAATCTCTGGTGTATTCACGGAGAAAAACAATTTAAATTGAAGATGAAGTCCTTGCTCATTGGAACATATACAAATCAAAATGGGCCCCATATACAGAGCTTCGGTGTTTTCTTCATGTAAACAATAATAGCGTATACAAAGACTCTGTGTAGATCTGGTGTTATATTGGTTAATTAGATTTTTTTTATCTGGCATTCAAATTCAAGACAAGCATGATTAATAGACTATTACAAAGGCACTCTGGCATATATCAGATTTGTTTTATGTGCTAATATGCATTTTCTTATTTAGATTTAAATGAAATAAGAAAACAGGTGTAGGCTACTTCATTAGTTCCACATTACACACAAAAATGTACATACATATTCAGTCAAAAAGTTTGCTTTCTTACTTGGAGAAGTTAGAGTAGAGTGTAGTCTGTACTTTTCCATTAAAATGTACATGTTGTTTGCAATGGAACATATTTCTTTTCTTATTCTGTTCTTCAATGTTAGTAAAAATAACTTTTAAAACCTAATAAAGACAAATTTTGTTTAATAGGAAAAAAATTAACATCCATTTCACCAAAGTAAAGAATTCTTGCATTTAATAGGTTTCTGTTTGATGGTAGACAAATATGCCTATGAAGCACATTCTGTACATAAGTTGCTTTTTCTCTGCATCAATATCTTAACATTTTTTCAAGTATGAAGATGCAAAAAGCATTTTAAAAAAATCATTGGAAATAGAGTAGCTGCAGAACTGTAGCTCTCCGCAAAAAAAAAAAAAAAAATACTGACAGACTGGAGAGCTACAGTGCCACCCATAGAGAAAACTGTATATTCATTGGGCACAACAAATTGCACTCGATTCTAAATTTATTTCTCCGTATATTTAAACTGCCATCTCAAAATATTACTAACTGTGTGTTCCTAACATATTCTTAAACTATTTCGACAATGAAAACATTCCCCCATAAGTCATAACCGTTGGTAATAGCCCTCCTGGGCCTGAAATGGAGACCATCGAAAATTTTGCCTATTTATACTGCCATTTTGGGTGGCAAGACAATTCGGTCCACTGTGCTTCATGCAGATGTCAACTACATCTGTAGTTGACAGAGGTCTAAGGGATTTCTTGAAATCAAGCTTTTGTGCAGATAAGAATTTGGATAAATAAATCCAGAATTGAGCACATTATTTTTTTTTTTTCGAAGAGCTACAGTTCTGCAGCTAGAATGGCTTTATACAGTTTGGTTCAATTTCAATTGTACACTTGTACGTACATTCAGAGGGTAAAGACTTAATATGCAAGTGGGTTTTTATATAGGTATATGAAAAATTTTATAGCTGTACTAAAATGTACAGTTGTGTCTATTTATTGTGGAAAGTGAGAGATCTAAATGTATATATATATATTGATTAATTACCAATCCTACAACTTTTAGACTTCCACACCAAGCATCCATGTTTGAGATGCCTATCCTATAACATAAAATACGTGAACACTGAATATATTTTTCTAAGTAAATAATGAAAAATGCCTGTAAAATGTCCTCAACAAATGATTATGTATTTGGGACAGGACAACGCAAGTGAAGTCGCGGTAAAGTAGTACGTGGGTGACAAAGCCATTCAGGATATTCACATATTAAAATTAACGTTTCTTGCAGTGTGAATTTTTGTTCTAAAGACACTCATTTCCATCTCAAAATGAAAGTCCACAATTCAATAATTAAAAAAGACGATGGGTTGCAGTTATGGCTAATACCCATGATTTGCAGGCTTCTGTACTTTATTCCAAACCATTGAACCTTAAATGTTTTAAAATACATGCAAACAGAGTTAATCATGTTGATTTATTTCCAGAGCACCTGGCTGGCTCATTAACATTGTGTCAAATATGAACAAATTTATGGCCCATTTACTTAGCATATTAATAAAAACTATACATAAGTTTAAGTACTGAAACAGTGGTGTAAATGGTAGAACTTAGTTCTGCATTTAGAAGCACCACATTTTTGCCATACATGTTGTTGTGAAGTAAACACCAGACCAAGACCAAGGGAGAGCCTTTATGAAAATATTATTCTGGAGCTGTGGCCATGCGAGATTAAATGTAGATTTATGTATGGAGGTTTTAAAGTTTGGCCAGGGTTTATTTGCTTGATATTTAAATCAACAGGACTAAGTGACGTATGTAAACTTGTCTTTTGACACCTGCACATAAAAAAAAATGTGAAATAGTGTATGTTTTGTTCTACAGATGTATGAACATATACATACTCAATAACTGTTTTTTCCAGTAATATATGTTAAAATGCATTTGCATAATCTTGACATGCCAAAAATCATTTTATTCAAAAATTTTCATCTGAGAATTAGAATTATACATATATACATGTGTAGATAGAAATATCTTGGCGAATACCTGTGTGCTTTTTTAAACAGGTCAGTGACTCTGCAGTAACTTATTTTGGTATTTGAAAATTAATATGCATATCAAAAGTCAGGATCACAATGATAGTGTTTTGATGCTTATCTTGAATCATTTGGTTGAGGGACCAAAAGGGAAAATTCATCAAATGATGTGAAGGCTTGCAATTTATTAGAATTCTGTTAAAAAAAAACAAAAACAAACATATAAAAAAAAAAACTGTACAGCCATTGGGTAATATGAAAAGCATAGAGAATAAAATTTATGGTTGGTGTCTTTCAAATTTTATGTCGTTGATTAAAATTTGATGTAATCTTTCTGATTTTGGTCGAAATTTTGATGCTGAAAATTGACTCTGATTGGGAACTAGACTTGCTGTGTTTTATCATGTTTATTGCAAAAATTTTTGAGTTATTCAAACACACCACATAGAAGAGGAGTCCCGGGGTGGTCCACATTGGCTTTGATTAAGTGAGATTACCATCCAAACTTTTGTCTCCTGTTAAATGCATATCGACAGATACCAAGGAATGCAGTGTGCAGCATTGCATTTACCCAAGGTCGAAACACTTCCATTAACTTTTTAAATTGTCAAGCCAAATTTTCACTTCTCTTGCTGTAGCGTATTCTAAAGCTAGATAAATGAGTGTCTCTGGTTTCTTTATCCTGAACATGGTAAAATGCTGGCCTGTCTAGATGAATGTTGTGTACTTCTCATGAAGAAAATGTGACAGGTTTGGACAACGACTTGTTAGAGAGATCAGGAATGCAATGAAAATCTACAGAGAAACATATATTATAAAGACACAAGGAAATAGCTAGTACCAAGAGTTGTGAACATTTATAGACATTAAATGTGTACTTTTAGAAAAATAGACTTTTTAAAAGTGCATGTCTTAAGTTATTTAGTAATAAATTTATTTTAAAGACACACGCATTATTCAGGAATATATCAGTATTTATTTTGAAGCAACACAATAAAATTTTAGAAACATCTTATTCATTGAATATTTTTTTTCCCATGTTTTTAGAACTTTGATATAGATATAATGGTGCATTCCAACATGTTTAACCCTATATAAATTTTGTAATGGAAGAATTTACATTTATGAATCTTTAATATTATGTTTTTACATGTAGTTTAAGTAATGAGATAACTTTGTAACTGTTGATGTATTTTTTTTTTCAGTTGACTGTTGTGATAAAGAAGAATGAAGACTGTGCTTCACGTGATTTTGTAACATACAAAGCTCACACAAATAACCTGCCAGGAACATTTGAAAATGGCCTATCTGCTGTAGGCCCTGATGAAAGTGTTGCCATCCGAGTGATGGATCCTGGGAAACATGTACAAATTTATTTAAGGTTCATTGATACAACCATACGGGTGCGACAAATTGGTCGCTATTTCACTTTTGCCATAAAAATGCCACAGGAAATTGTGGAACAGTCACTAGACAATGATACTCAGCAATTATGTGTGCAAGGATGCCCTGAACAAGAGCAAATTAATTATAAAAAATATCTGGCAGAAAAAAGGAGAATTATAGACGGGCATCAAGGGGACATCGCAATGACCAGTGATAAAGCAAGTGAATTGTGTCGGAAGTCACATGTTGTGGATTTTTACTTTGATTCATGTGTATTTGATCTCATGACCACTGGAGACGAAAGTTTTACTGTAGCAGCACAACAGTTGTCAAAAGATTTAACAGATCTTTCACCAGAAATTGTGAAAACTCAGGGAAACCGAACACGTTTGATAGAAATCCTTCCCTCAAGTGGCTGTAGAGTAAATAGTGACTTTATTCTGTGGACTTGTGCTTTAGCTGTTCTTTTATGTTTATTATTTCAACAAAGGACTTCATAACAAAGGTAACATATTCAGACAATGGCAAGACATTCATGTCACTTTCAGTATATCTAGATACTTTTTTCTGGAAGTATTTGCCCAGTGCTGAAACAATAATGAAATTTTATGTATGGAAATTGTAGCAAAGCTAAATGCAAGGGACGAATGTTATTGGAGGGGGTGGTGGTGGTTGGTTTGGGGAGGGGTGCAGTAAGAGATCTGAAGATAAGACAATTAAGGCCATTCAAGTTTTTTCTCTGTTTCATGTTCACCTATTATTCATGAACCTACCTATCAATTCACAAAAAAAAAAACCCACACAAGCCAAAATGTAAAACACAGATTTCATAGTTATAAAAATGACATCATTTGAAGGATTTTTGATTTCATTATTCTATTTTTCTGGTAGAAAATCTATTCCTTTGCAATTGAAGGTAGTAAATGCTAAGTATTTACTAATTTGACAGATTTTATTTCTAAAGAAATTGACAGAATTCAGAGGTCTCAATAAAAAAAAAATCAATTCAGGACTTTTTGCTTTTTCTCATCTGAGCTGTGTAAAACCAAAACTCATGCAGATGCTTAACACAGAAAAAAACTTAGTATGGCCCAATTGCATCATAGAAAAAAAACAAACAACCAGAATAATCACGTGAATTAATTTTTTTCTTATGTATCTGCCATTGCATAGTGCTTTGCAATCAATTTCTCTTAGATTGTTGACCTGGAGCAGCTGGGACTGCCCACCATTTGATTATACAACAAATAAAGATGATACTTCTGTAATGTAATATTACAGATGATAATTTTCCTGGCACTTATGAGAAAATTGTTCTTTTGCTTGGAATGATCCAATCAATTTCTTTTTATATCTCATGAAGTTGGCTCTGTAACATTTCTACTTCTCTATGCTGGTGTCAGAATGGAGATGCAAACACATGTAATTCAGCAACAAAGCAATTGATTTTTCTTTTTTCCCTTAGTTTTTAATGAAGACTATATATATTGGAAGTGACATGAATTTTTTGAAGCAGAGTCTGAATATGATTGTGTAATTTTTTTTGTTATGTGAGAAAACCACCCTTTTTCATGAGAATTAGAGACTTTGTTTGGATTAATGGATTACATATTATATGTCTATGATACCCATTTATGATTGATGCCAAAAATACAGTATTTTGTTATATGCTGAATTAAAACAAAACCCACTTTAATTAAAATGTAGTGTCAGGGAATATATGTAATTGATAAGCTATGATTATAAAGGAAGTGGGTATGAATTTCGTGCATGTTTCTTTCTGTACACGGGTGAATGATGGATGTAGGGTGTACGAGATACACATTGTGTGAATTATGCATGTATATATGTGGAAACAGTGTGTGAAAAGTCTGGCATCAATGTTTTTGAGTCTGTGTATGTTATAAATGTATATAAAAATGCCAACTGCTGACTGCACTGAACAATTGATTATTTGTTATTGAAATTTTCAGTAGATTTAAGTATGTGAAACTTCATAGCTTGACAATTCAGAATATTGAATTCCATACATACACATGTACAGTTGTGTTCTGGCCCTCTTGTTCTTTGTGCCAGTCATGTTTAAATAAGCCCCCATATTGATTTTCTCGTCTAAAATATCTTGGATTTTTAGAACCCCAGCCACAAAGATTTAGTGTTATTAGGTGTAAATTCTAGAGACCAGAGCTATCAAAAGATACCTAAGAAAGCTTTTTAAAACTGTTTGTTGAAATAAAGATCGAGCAACTTGTTTGCAACCTTTAGTTTGGTGTTGTCAAACTTAACACAAACAAAGTATTGCATAATTTGGTCACACACTTTCAAGTAGGCATAAAATTGTAATTTCTCATTATTAACTTTATTGTTTTCTCAGTTCTCTCTCTCTCTCTCTATATATATATATCTTTTATTGGTAAATTATGAGAGGGCCTGAATCAACTGGAAAATGCAGAGTCAGTTTGTGTAGACTCCCCAACTCTTTCTGAAAAATGACAAAAAAGCAATAAAATTGTTGAGTATTTATACTTCTTTTTTTCTCATTTTTTCCTGATTGTTTACTCCGTAAGGCTGTTTGGTTTAATTAGAGCATTGCTGAAACAATTTGTCATCCAGTGATCCCATCCTGGCCTTGGACACGTGGAGTGTATACACAGGTATTGCAGGTGTAAAGCCCACAGCTACATCGTTCATGGTCGCTTTGTCCCCATGCCTAAGTGCTTCTTAGTTTAAATAACTTTCAAAAAAACATTGAGCATGGACAACAAGTACATGAATGGATAACCTAGAATCAACATCATCTGTGTTACGTTAGCTCTTCCACAGAGTGAACCATATTTATTGTAGTTTACTTTACTTGTAGCTTGTACATGTTTAACATACATATTTTTTGTTATCGGAGCATCTACATTACGTATCAATCTAATTTGCAGATGATAAAAATCTGATGCACGTTATTGCATTGATAACCACTTGAAAGTGTTTGATCTTCCTTGCAGTAAACTATCAGTCAGCTGGATGATAATCAGACATTTTTCCTTGCATGTAAAGGACAGCTTTCAAAACGTGACAACAACGGTGACATTCCTCGACCTGAATAAGACACAACACATCTTGACAATGGCAAGGGCCATAGAAAATTTTAATTCACTTTAATTTTGCCCCATAAAACGTAGTCCGTCGATAAGACTAGCCCAAGTGGAGATCCGCATGACCCTTTGTTCGTATTGAAAAATTCCCAACGTGATTTTCTTTAACCCCCGAAAGCCATAAAATGAAATTCATCTCGCCTTAATGGGCCACCCGGTCTAAATAGGCATACAACCCATACAAGGAACCGAGCTGACGCGATTTGATTTCCATTGTAACTTGAATACATTGGTCAGTGTTCCGTCTCGAGTGGGAGGAGACGAACTTTCATTATTTTCAGACATTGGGGGATTTTCTCCTGAGAAATGAATTTGAACTTCATTGTGTACAGGGGTTCTTTTGAAAGGAAAGTCGGAAAAGCATCATCAAAAATAATTACAACAAACGGTAGAAATAAAGTGACGATACCTAGACTACTTGAAAATTTTAATTGGCTTTTTTTTAACTTGAAGTTTCCTTGAATATCTTTTGTTTCATTGACATGTTGACCGGTCCATGAGTGACACACTGTGGCTTAAATGTTGGCGGTCATACCTTAAATTTGGCTATTGTTAGCAGAATTTTTCATTGCAGTTCAATTTGACCTCTGTTTCTTCAAAAGCAGTTAGCTGTACAGGTACAGTGAAAAACGCATCTCTTTGTTTTAATAGAGAAATACCTTGTGCTGGAAAAGTTGTTATGAAGGGCGTAAGTGGAATATTTTGATTAGTTGAAATTTTTTACCCCTATGTGGAACGGATGCAATTTACATGCAGAATGAATGCATTTGTTTATTGCTACATGATGGCATTGCACAAGAGTACATTCATTATCACCATTGTCTCCCTCTGTTTTATTGTTCAGTGACAGAATCGTCAAACTTCATATTTTTCATAGGAAAACAACAAAGCAAGTCGATCGATCACTAAGTAACCCAGTTCTCTGTCATATTTTTAGAGCTTAAACCGTCTGTATAAGTCTAAACAGTTTTTTTAATTGGATGGAATTAGTTCCTCATTCAGTAAACATATAGGTTTTATTTCTAGGAAGGTTGTTGGTAATAAGTTAAAACATATGTATACAAACAACACAAGTTCTGTTTGGTTCAGGGCATTTTACCTAAAGGTTGAGCGTTATGGTTGCCGCTTATCAAGTACTTAATCTTGCTCGGGAGATTTGCACACCTGCACCGAAACACTGAATTATCTGCTGGGGCCCGTCAAAGGGAGTGAAAGAGGAGAAATAAAATCTGTGAAATTCGAGCTTAAAATTTATGTTTCAGATAATTGAATTATTCATGTCCAGGTATGAAAAGGCCAATGTTATATAATATATGCATGTTCCCGTGGATTCTGTGTTTAAGTTAGCACTGTTGAAAGGATTTTATGGTCTTGTTGAAAACAAAAAGGTGTCGCAAAGTTCGGCAGAAATTGAAATAAAATCTCTCCACGCCCTTCCTAAATAATGATATCCATTATACGTTTAAACTGCCCCTGTTTCCATTTTCCCCTTCTTCAAGTTGTATACTGGTATGTGGCTATTACGAAGTTTCCACGAGATAGAGATATAAACAAGATTTTCCTTTGAGATAAGTGTTTTAGTTTACTAAGTTGCATTATGTGAAAAGGCATTAATACTATAGTATTGCAGTTAACTGCATTTTAAGTAATCTAAAGACAATAGCAAACGACGTTCTAACTCATTTAAGATCAAAAGAAAATCCCAGTTCCTCAAAAGGCCTGCACGGCATCAGTTTCATCTTTAAAAAAAGTCTTACCCTCTGAGCTGAAATTAAATGTCATCATTGTTTTTCAAAGTTTTATAGCCCAAGCAAAATAAAGACTACGCTGAAAATTATACGGTATCATTCTATCGTGATCTCAGTGCGGGTTTTTCATGACTAAACCATTTTGTGAAAGGGATACACTTTATAAAGGTCCAAAAATTAACGACCCGCACATAGATTTTTTTCTGACTGAATGGGACTCAGACACGTAAACAGTTTGGTATTACCTTTTGACGTGTTCGGTTCGTGGAACTAGCTAGTTTGATAACATTAACAAAAATATATACCCATCCTGTGCTTAATGATGTTTATGCATCTTAATTTAAACCAAGGAAGAATACCATTTTTATGAAAGCTTCCGTTTTCCTCGTGTTCACTCAAAAAATAAAACATTATATTCCAATAGCGAAAATGAGAATTATAAAAAATGGAAAATGGAAAAATATGAATAACCTATAAGTTTTCGTTTAAGTTACACTGTACATGTACATATTAATTAACAGCTGGGCGTTTTTCTCTTTTGCAATAGAACAGATGGCAAATTACTTGTTGGAATTAAATGAGGCAGTTCTCATTTCCTGCTATTATATACTTTGCGTTACGATTTAATTTAAGATTTTTTGTAACGTTTGTTTTAATGGAATGTGTCAGAAGGCTAGTTCAGACTATCCGAGACAGTTAATAAGGGGGTTGTATTAAAGTTTTAGATATCAACCACACGTTCACTGGAAAAAAAAAACACACACACACACAAGAGACTTTGTATAAAACATATTTGATAAAGTGGTAAAAAATCATTTTACTTGAAAAACAATTAAACCGTGTAGCTCGTTTATCATCAAATTGTTTTACTTGGGTGAATTATATATTTTTAGCCAGTGATTAATTGCTCTGCAATGAAAAGTACAATCTGATTTGTTATGTAATAAAAAAAAATCCTGATGTGCGAAAATTACCAAACTTTGAAGTGAAAATCTGTGATAGTTTGCACCTTTTTAGCACAGCCTTCCACCAAATAATATGTATTTGTTTAGGAACACGCCGTATGGTTCCTCTCAGAACTCCGCTTTGAATCTGAAAAAAATCAAGTCATATTCTCTTATCTGATGGAAAATGTTCGTAACATCAAAACATAAGAAAATTTGTATATTTACAATGTAATTAAACCCTTATCCCAATACTGTTTCTACTAAACTCTAAACACCGATGATGCACACAGAGCATATTTTCATAAACTTTGGATTTTTTTTATCTTGAAATCGAGAGGGGCAAATCATAGAATTTTTTTTCTTTCTTTGTAAAGCATTTCTATCAAGGATTCGTATGTTATATATCATGGAAATTGCAGTTTTAGCATATGGCGTGGATTGTATGTAATTTTTATGTTCTTCGAGCATTCCGTTCCGCAGTTAAACGGACTAGGGCCCGTCTCTCCTCGAAACATCAAAAACATGTGCAAGAACTCGAGATCTACATTGAAAGTAATACGTTCTTTTCCCCTCTACAGCTGCGTTATCGACTCCAGATAAGAGGTTCCTCTGCTTCCTCTCCTATTTTTTTTGTACTCCTTTCACTCCAATGATTTCACAAAAAGGATGTGTAAAAGATTTATAGAATGGTTCGATTTTTCTCTTGTAAATCTTCCATGGTTACGCTTAGGAATGCTTTATATTATTTTTGGTTTCAAATATCTTAAAAAAGAGAACACATATATTTAAATTATGGACATTTTTCAACTTTTTGATTAACTATCCTGGAGTCAAAAGCGACTCGCTTCAATTAGTTCTTTTTATTGAATAAAAAACAAACATTGCAAGAAAATGATTTGTCATGGGATAAAAAAATCATAACAGAATTCATAATTCGTGGATATATATCAGATATCAAGGTTGTTATCAAAATCAGATGTTTTGAATCACAATAACGTTTGACTGACAATCATTTCATAAAATCACATTAAACGTCTACATGTGAATACAATTTACGTACCTCCTGAAATAACCTTAGCAATGAACTCTTCTATGATGGAGGTAGAATTCTTTATCTAAAGTCTCGGTGACATTTGAGACGAGCATAGATCAGAACACTAGACAAGAAAAGTGATAAAAGTTGGAAAAAATATATAACGAGAAGAATGCTTTGCAAGATCGCAGGTCATGCTACTGACTTGATTGGTAAGTTGATGCTGAATAATTTTGTCATTTATATGATAATAGAGTGAAAGAAAATGAAGTCACGAATACACTCCTGACAGAATGTTTTGAACACAGTTTTCTTTGGCATCTCCTTGCAAAGCTTCTGTTTGGCCTATCAAGCAATAAAAGCACATACCTTGCTGAAATTCTGATAAACCCTGTGATTTTTTCGTCTTTTTTGACAATTTTATTGCAGACACTTAAAAATCTAGTTTAATAGACACTCGCTTCATTGCATATGCCAGTTGAAGTTTGATTACAGTCAGACTTTGCATGGTCAACGTAGACGAGAGAGACTCATTGCTGCAATATATTGAACAAAAGAACAAATCCTGTGGAAGCGAAAAAAACTTGATAAAATTATAAACACATAACGGCATATAAATGAGGTTTGTTGCTTATGTGCCCATCAATTATT